GCTCCCAGGAAGGGAGGTGATATTTGTGGGCAAAACGAAGCCCCAGCGTGGGAGAATCTGCAGAACTGCACTGAATTCTGGAAAGCCTGAAAACTCGAAGGGAAAGCATGCGGCGTGAAAAAGTCTGACTGATGCTGTCAGGGAGTGCCACCGAGAGCCCGTGAGGAGTTTGTGGGGTGTCACAGTGCCATCCTGTGGGCCAGGGAGGTATGAGGCAAGGCAGCACCTGTGCAGTGGGACAGGGTGTCGGCAGTGGTGGGGTTGGCCGTTGTCGTGGTGTCACCCCATCCACAGCTGCTCCCTCACTGCCCCACCAGCGGGATCAGGGAGAGAACTGGAAGGCTTAAACCCAGAAAGCTCCTGGGTTGAGATAAAGACACTTTAATAGGGAAAGGAAAAGCCATGCACACAAGGCAAGCAGAACAAGGAATTAATTCACTGCTTGCCATGGGCAGGCAGGTGCTCAGACACCTCTGGGAGAGCAGGGCTCCATCACACATAACAGGGGCTGGGGAAGACAAACACCATCACCCCAAACATCCAGCACAAACTCTGTGCCAGCACAGCAAAAAGCATCTCTGTGTTATCAACCCTGTGTTGAGCCCAAACCCAGAACACGACCCCTGTAGTAATCAGTGTGAGGAAAGTTAACTCTGCCTCAGCATTTAAGGTATTTCATCCCTTTCATTTGCTACTGCAGACCTACCTGAATTGTCAGTGCTGGGGTGTGCCATGGACCCTCCACGGTGTTCATGCAGCTCTACACCCTGGCTGTGCAGAAGCAGGACCCAGGGGCAGAAACCTTCCCTGGTAACAGAGATGCCTTTTTTGGTTGGTGGTGTTTTTTTTTTTTTTGTTTTGTTTTTGTTTTTTTGTTTTTGTTTTTTTTTTTTTTTTTTTTTTTTTTTTTTTTTTTTTTTTTTTTTTTTTTTTTTTTTTTTTTTTTTGGTTTTTTTTTGTTTTTTTTTTTTTAAGCTGAGTGTGGACTGGCTCTTTCAAGACATGAGAGAGAGAGAGAGAGCAGCTTCTTTTTGTACAGTGAGCAGGACTCACACTGCTGGGAGAGACCCCTGGCCACCAGAGTACTCCCTGGAGAATAGAATGAGACCTCCTGCTCTTCACTGCCTCCTTCTTCCCTGGGTGAGAGTTTTCCCACCAGCAGCCTGGTGGATCTGCCTTGTTTTGTCATTCTGCCAGTATTCTCTTGTCTCCAGAAGTTTGGAGGTGAGAGCTGCTCCAGTGGCAGCTGAGGACAAGCTTTTAGGCTTGGATTGGATTTAAACACGTAAAATGGAATGGAGGTGGGACTTGGGCACATCACCCATTTTTTGGAGGAAATCAATATAGTCTTTGCACAATGTCATTAAATCCAGCAATGTCCTTTTTGGCTGTCAATGTCAGAATTAAACACAACATGTGCTCCAAAGTTGAGGGGGAGTTCAGGGAGAGAAGTGTGAGCTGCACGTGGCCAGCACTGTGTTGGGGTTACACTGGAGATTTAATCTGGGGAGGGATGATGGAGTACTGGGCATTTCCCTGAGTATTTTGATTCACTCAGTCAAGCTAAAACTGCCAGTCTCACATGAGGCAGTTCTGCATCTTTCCACTTAGTAATACCAGCTGATTTTACAAGTCCACTGCATCAGTGTCCTTTACTGTAGCAGGACGTGGAAGGAGTTCATCCTCTCATTAGAATCTGCTCAAGCCACAACTCTGCTGGTCTTTTCTGCTTTCCTCTTTTAAGAAGGGCATTATAAATACATTGGATCTGGTCTGTTTAATCATCTCTCCCTTATCTTTGCTCAGTGTAATAACCTGACTTCCACACGGGTCTGTCACAAGGAAAGCAAGTAAGATTTGCTTCAGTGGAGTTATATCCACTTGAAATAACTTTCCCCACGTCTTTGCTATCCCCAGAGACACTCAAGGCCTGAAATTATTCTCAATTAACTTGCTAGGAGTTGTTCCTGTCTGGAGATCTGCTTCTTACTTGCACATAGGATTTGAATGGGGTTGGATCTGTCATCACTGGGAAGGGTTCAGGGATCCTCCACGTTAGCAGGAGGCGTCAGTTCTGTTTTGAACACGAGTCTTTTCGAATCATAAATGTGGAAGGTGTCTGAAATGGGGTTGAAAAATTGCCCAGGTGAGTTTACATCCCATTCCAGAACATCATCTGCTGTTTCATGTGACTGGTCTCAGAAAGCCTCTGAGAAAATTTTGGAAATTCTTGGTTTAGGTTTGTACTTTACATTTAAATAGTATTTAAAAGTAAGTAAGCAGTAACTGAGTGATGAGTAAGTCATAGGCTGGCAAGGAGTACTTTGGTATTTCATTTATCTTATGCTTCCTGTTTTTCTTAATGTCCATTCCTTTTAGGTACTTGATTGCTTTTACATTTATAGAATTACAGACATAGAAAAATCTTCTTTGGTCCATCTGCCATTCCTTTGGCCCAGTCAAAGTCTTTCCTATCCCTTTCTCTGTGTGAGTGATGGTAATCATTATTTTAATCATTATTTTAATGGTGCTTTCCTTGAAACACTATTATAAACTTGGATCTAGTCCCTGGTTTCATGTCAGTCCTTCACTGCTGTGGTGTGTAAGCTAAACCCTTGCTTCTTGGACAGATTTAAAATGTGAGTTTTTCTGTCCTGTGGCTTCGCTGTTTGGGTTTTTCCCAATATTTGCATTGTTAAATGATTATGTGTTATGCTATAACTGAGTATAACAGCTCTTTCATACTTTCTAAGCTGTTTGCAGACATCTGCTTAATGCTGGAGTGTTTGATCCCTGCAGTTCCTTTGTTTATACAACAGATGATGAAAGATGGTACAGAAAAACTTGGGCTTACAAATGCTTCAAGAAAAATTTTTTTTCATGTGTAACCCCAAAAACCTTTTTATGCCATTCATCTTTTTATCTGCTGAGACCCCGTTTCTTTTGCAACTGGTTTTAAGTTTTGCACAACCCTTACTTTGGACAGACAGATGACATTACCTGCAATACCTGCAGTGCAAGAGGAGTCTTCTTTGCTGCCAAGGAGCTTTACTGAATGCATTTAGAAACCATAAAGGAGCAGGAATCCTCTCCCTGCAGAGCAGGATTTTACAATTTCTAAGCATCTGTTGGGTTATTAATACCCACGATGGATAAAAGGAGATCCTGGATATCAAACATTGAATATTTAGACTCTTGTCCTCTCCCCTTTACCAGTGGAACATCTCTACTGACTTTGGGGAGATCCACATCAGATCCATGAGTGTAAAACTAAAACTAGAATCAGACCAAACACCACTGGGATTGTTCCCTCTGCAGGAAAATCCAGGGATTTGTCGTGGGTTCAGTTAATGCAGCTGTTGCAGACACCTCTCTCTGCCCCTGAGTTGTGTGATGGGGTCTCTGCCTTACCAAGCTCCAGGCAGTCACTGGGATCCAGAGTTACTGCTGCTCTGAATCTTGTGAGAACTGTGAACTAGCCTTAGCATCTCAGTTTGTTCACTCTCTGTAATCCCTGGACTGAAAACTTCCCAGCATATAAATCCACAGGAAAAGGCTCACATGAAAGAGAACTCGCCAAGGGAATTTTGCTTTGAAGATCAGCATTATATTTAGCCTGTAAAGCAGAGATTTCTCACAACTTTGGTGAACTCAGAGCAGGCAGGCCATACATTCTGTTGGTAGACCTGGCTTTTTTTTTTTTTTTTTTTCCCCCTTGAGAAAACTTTGTGAGGAGCAAATGCCTTTTACAAATTCCTTATTACACGTTATTACTTGTAATACCTTGCTCATCTCTGTGTATCTGTAATCACTGCTTGAATATGTCCCTTCTGTGTGCGCGTGAATATGTTAATATATATTTATGTAAGGATGCATATTTATATATTTCATGTGCTGCTGACATTTTCTCCTTCTGGAATCTAGATAGAGCTTTTGGCAAATCTCGTTCACTTAGAAGGCTTCTCCAGCCTCTGATGCTTCTCCCACTTCTTTCTGCTCCTTTGGGCTTTGGCAATGTTACAGCCAACCTTCTGGCCCAGGGTACACTTTTTATAGCCTGTTCTTGTTCTTTTTCTGGCTACTTGAGTCCTTGTCAAGCAGTGGCAGGAGCTGCAGCAGAACAGGGACTAGAAAATGCATATTTCCCTAGTGGAATGAGCTGCTTTGACACTCCTGCACTGAGTGGGGTGTGGAATTGTCTCTGTAGAAAATACTGAGTAAGAACAGTCATTCTTTATCTTTCTCCCTCTTTTGTTGTGGAGAGCTGCTGATATTTTTAATAGCTTATGAACAGCCCTTTGGGCTCCATGTGTAACCAGCATAGATGGACCTAGAGGCAGGTACACTGTATTTCATGGAAGTGAAGTGTGACAACTTTTCTTTCTAAAGGAAGAAAAGTTCTTGCAAACACAACCTGTTTTCCATCTGTTGGCCTAATAAATTGTTTCAGATCTGATTTGAAATTATAAAATAAACATTTTTCAATTTGAAATTCCTTCTCTTGCTCCGAGAGAGTTCCCTGCCCCTGGCATGGAAGGGGCTTATGAGCCAAATTGTTCATGCAGATCTGTCTTAAAAGGACTCAAAATTAGCCACCAAGAAAATGGCTGTGGGGATGCCCAAAGTCCCAGTTGCAGTAGAAGTCAGACCTTGTGTCTCCAGGCTTGGAGAGCACAGCACTGCAATGCATCCTAACAAACTTTGTAACCTTCTGATGTATTAAAAAGGTATTTTCATCTCCTGCAAGAAGAGATGTAAGGAAAAATCCCCCCCCCAAATCCAATCCCACTAGGCATCAAAGAAATGTAGCACTTTCTGTTTTAGCCAGCTGCAGTGATCTTGACAGCAAATCTCAAATTCAGTCCCTTGAGACTTTCTCCTTAGGAAATGAACCCTTAGGTTGACATGTCTTGATTGTGATCCCTGTGAAATAACACCTCTGTCTTGGGCATTTCTTTTTTAAACACAATGCTTTTTTTTTTTTTATTTTTCCTTGCTAGGCTGGATTCTGGATGCTGCAAGGCTGGATGCTGCAGAAGAGGTGGTTGCATCTTCTTCCTGTAGAGTTGGTGATGTTTCCCTCTGTGCAGGGAGTCCAACCTTTATGGAAGGAAACTGTTTTCCTTGCTTTTCGGTTTTCTTGGTGCTGTTGCCTTTAAAGGGATCAACATTCTCAGATCAAAGAAACTGAACCTAGATGTGAGCAGGGATTGGAGGAAGGAGCCAGGGAGAATCCCCTGCAACGTTCAAACATGTCTCACTCCTGGGAAAACCAAGTAAACCAGGATTCAACTGCAGCAATTTGTGAGCTGTTCATCAGAAACCCCAGACAAGCAGCGAGTCCTGTGGGGAGCTGGGAATGGCACAGGACACCTCCAAAAGACTCTCTCCAAAAAACTTCCTTTAAACCTTTTTTTTCAAGTGGAAGATCCAGAGCTGGCAGATGGGTAAGGTCATCACTTAGAAGAGCAAATAGCTCTCCCCAGAGAATTGAACAAGCCACCGAAGTCCGTCTGTCTGTCTGTCTGTCTGTCTGCCTCTCTTTTGGCCTTGGGTTACTGTGCTTTTTTTTTAAAACTGTGATTTCATGGCTCAGATAAAAGGTGGGTGTTTCACATAGCACTGCAGGTAGCAATCGTTCCTGTTCATGCAAAATATCTGCTGTGTAAGGGATGGGCCCAGACTAGAGGTGTTTCTCATTTACCCACAAAACGTCTTGCTTGGTGTGTGTGCAGTCAGTTCTTGTGAACGTGTGAGTCCATTGCCTGCTCTAAAGGAGTTAGTGGCTTAGTTTCAGTGGCCATAGAGATTTTCACTGAAATATCACTGTTTGTGGTAGTCTTTTGTGTGATTTAGAAGACACAATAGCCAGACAGTTCTGAAATTACGGTATAATTGTACTTGGCGTCCCCAGAAAACGCTCTGAAGTTCTCTCCTGTTGCACCATTGTGATAAAAGCCTCTGTTGCTTTTCAAGCTCCCAAAGTCCATGCTGTGCTGTGCTGAAACTGCTTGAAAACCCAATTAGCAGTGAGAAGTGAAGGGCAGAGAGGGATGCTCTGGCCTGGAATTCCCTGCCTCTGGCAGCAGCAAAGGTCAGTCGTGCAGCTGAATTTCCATACCCACATGTGGATCCACCGTGTGTGTGTTGCCAGTTCTCTGCACAGGAGAAAGAGAGGGTGGGTAGAAAGAATTGATTCTGGAAGAGGAGAGACTGAGGAGTGGAGTGAGCAGGATGACTGGGACTTTCAGAAGTTAGTCTGATGGATGCTGGGCGCCCAGTTCCCTGGAACTGTGTATTAATAACACTTTCTCTATTTTCATGAGTGGCTTGTAGCCTGTCTGGCAGTTTTCACAGTCAGTGTGTGAGGGACAAGAGGTAGAAGGCAGCTCACTCTGCCTTGGCAGCTGTAACAGGCTGGGCTGTAATACCTGAGGGTCTGAACTCTGATAAGCTGTGACATCCTGACTACCTGCCAGAGGCTTACAGGAGAAACCCTGAGCTGCCAGATTAGAAGCTGCTCCTGGAGCAGGTCTTCTGAGCAGTCCTGAGCATGGATGTGAGGCTGCAGTCCTCAGGCAATGTGTACTCCCTGTTCCCAAGAGACCTGCTCTGTCTTTAGTTGATGGTAGGGTTTTTCTGTTTGTTTCGATGAAAACCTGAAGCCTTTCCAATAGAGAACCTGAGGTGCAGAGAATTTCTTAGATGGAGCACGTGATTCAGGCTGTTTGCTGGGTTCAGGCTTTGAGAATCCCAGTTCTTGGTGGGCAGTCTCACACACGGAGGGAGAAGAGGTTATTGGGCTTGGAAGTTGACAAGGGAGATGGGACTCAACTGAGCTTTGAACAGCAATCATTGTCCTTATTGATGGTGCCATAATATGTGCTTGACTCAAACCCAACCTTGCACAGGCAAGACCCTGTTAAGTCATGTAATTAGATATCTGTGGTTGTTCCTACCAATGTGATCCAGTGTTGAATAGGCTAGAACATATGAATAAAATCAGTATTTTTTAAAGCTGTGCTGTGTTTTCTTTGCCACAGAGACTGGCTGCTCTCTTGGACTTCATTATGCTCATGTGAAATATTTGATGTGGAATTCATTAGGATGGTCCATGTCCACTTGCAGAAGTGCACCTTTTCTTCCTCAGAGGTGACTGCTGCAGTCCTGCACTGTCCTCCTGCCCCTGAGCTGGCCTGGGCACTCTGCCAAGTGTTCCCACCTTCCAGGAGAGCTGTCTCGCTCCAGCAGGTTTGCTTCCTCTGGGAATGCTCGGTGGGAATCTCCAAATTAACCCATCACATCTTTTTCTTGCAGAATTCTTGACTTGCAGGCCATAAAGGTGAATCCATGTGTGTGGCACTGATCCTCTGGGGAGACATTCTGCCTGTCTGCCATGCAGGCACACTGGAAGGGGCCAATGGGACAAGAGGCAAGGACAAAGCCAGACCTCGTTTCCCCCACTGGCTGCACCAGGGTGTGTCGTGCTGAAGGAATCAAGGGCAGAGGTTCATGCACAGAATCTGTTTTCTTTGACCTTGGCACTGTGACAGCACTGTTCCACGTGCTTGTGGTCTCCCTATCCTAAGCCATGACTGTCTCTAATCCTTGAGCCCCTGACCCTCTCACTGTCACATTTGAGTTCACACCCATCTTTTTTTTAATCTTACAAAGCCTTGGTTGTCTCACCTGCTGTATTTCAAACCACAGAGTCAGCCTGACCCCACTTGCCCACTGAATTCATTCCTTCTTCATTCAGCCCAGATGATCCTTGACTCCTCTTTTGGAGGAAAGCTGCTGTCCCAAAACACTCTCATTACAGATGCCATCACTGAAGCTCTCCATCAGCAGTGCTCAAAACCTTTAGAAACGGGATTACTCACCACTGCCAAAACGTTTTACAGGTGGATGTGTTATGTTAAGGTATGTTACAGGCAATGGTATCAGATAAATCATCTGTTCAGGGGGACAAAAAAAAAAAAAAAAAAA